AATCACGGGGAATTTGAATGACTGAAGGATAATGTAGCCATGTTAAATTTGCAGATAAAATCTTGGCTTTGCTTAACCAATTTGAAATGTTGAGCAAATATGAAAAGATACAACCAAGCATGGATATGAAATTTCAGGTTTTTATGGGTCAAAATGGTCAACAGCTCACATTTTCATCAGGCTCAACCCAGGGAGCGAGCAGTGAGAGTGTACGGATGCCAACTTTACTTTTGTTTTCCAGAATCACAAAGCTTGATGGACCCTTAAAGAAAATGAAATCCAACTTTCTCATTTCAAAACTCATGCTAATAGGAGTCTAGGTAAATAAAAGTATTTAAAAACCCTCCAATATCACTGAAATAATAAGCCGGAAGCTAATTTCATACTGCTATGAGGGAGTGCCCACAACAGGAGTGACTCTGAGTGATTCCAAGTTCCCAGGGAACCCCATGATCTAATACAGCCACTTGAGCTCCAGACTTTAAATATACAGAGGCTGATCAGAAATCTTTTCAAGCCTGGCAGAGGCTAGGTTTTGAAGAACTGTAGAACCAGAGCTGTGGGCATGAACCTTAACTTGCAGGCATGGGGAAGCAGGAGGAAGCCACGGATGGAATATTCTGGCAATCCTGTGGATAGTTTTAGGAAACACAGGATGGAAGACGAAGAGCCAATGCAGAAATGAGGCAGGAGCAAAGAGGATGGATCAAAGCAAGAGCTACAGCAGCAACAGCAGCTAGCATCACCACAGTCTGAGACGGGTAGACGGGAAGAAAGGATAGAGCTACTGTGTTACGGAAAAGCAACTCAGGAGCACCAGGATGGTGATTTCCTTCCAGTCGAATGAGTGATAGGAAATGGAGAGCTTTTGCTGTAGAACATCTACACAAGTAGATTTAGAGAAAAAAGGTGAAGTCACAACTCTGTGCAATGATGAGGCAGTGCTGTGGCCCTGTGGATTAAGCCAGCAATTGTGATGCCAGCATCTCATATTGGAGCACTGGCTCAAGTCCCATGAGAAGCAGTGGAAGATGGCTCATGGGTCCCTGTCACACATGTGGGAGATCCAGATGGAGTTCCAGGATTCTTGCTTTGGCCTGGCACAGCCTGGGGCTTTGCATCCATTTGAGCAGTGAACAACTGGATGGAGGAGCTCTCTTTCTCCCTCTCTCTTTTGCTATCTCTCTCTCTCTCCCCATAACTCTGTCTTTTGAATGAATGAATGTATAAATAAATGTTTTTCAAAAAGTAAAATGGAACACAAAAGACAAATGTTCACAAATGAAAAGGAGTTTTGTTGAACATGGCTGGAAAGGTTAGAGAGGGCTGGGCTAAGAAATGAAGTCTCATAAAAGGGTAGGACTGTTTGAGGGAATTCCGGGGTTCTCATTTCATGGAGTGACCAACACTACAGATTTGGGGAAATGATTCGAAAGGCCTGGATGCAAGTACTCTGACAAGGCACTTCCAGGTCAGCAATGGCCAAGAGGCCCAGGAAGGGCCTGGTTTGGCCTGTGGGTGAGTCTGTGTCCTACTCTGTAGGGTAGGTGTGTGGTGCCACAGAGTTCCCAGGTGAGAGACATAATGGACAAGGCCCCTGTCAGTCAGAAAGGAACAGAAGTCTGCCATCCCCAAGGTAGCTCTGCACCTACCTCAGAGGCCACGACCCTGAGTGCACATGCTCACAACCCAAGGTTCCATGGATCAGGCCCAGTGAGTGCTGCAGAATTTCTTGGTCAGCTCTTTGGGGCTTAGAGGAGCCAGATTCTGTCCACATGCAACCTGTGGACATTATTACTACCACAACAATTACTCAGCACAGCCACATCTTAATGTACAATTCTGCAAATTACACATAAAATATAAAAATCATCACCTTAGGGCCAGCACCTCGGCTCACTTGGCTAATCCTCCACCTGCAGCGCTGGCACCCAGGGTTCTAGTCCCAGTTGCTCCTCTTCCAGTCCAGCTCTCTGCTGTGGCCCAGGAGTGCAGCGGAGGATGGCCCAAGTCCTTGGGGCCTGCACCCGCATGGGAGACCAGGATAAGTACCTGGCTCCTGGCTTCGGATTGGTACAGCGCGCTGGCCGTAGCGGCCATTTGGGGGGTGAACCAATGGAAGGAAGACCTTTCTCTCTGTCTCTTTCTCTCTAACTCTGCCTGTCCAAAAAAAATCATCATCACCTTAGGAAACCCTAGGCATTTGCTTATCCACTGTTCACTTGACTATGCCTAAAACAAAAGTCTTGAAAGATGCTACCACTGGTGATAGTATCTGGGGAGAAAGTTCAGTGAAAGGAACTCTTCTCTACTGCCCAGATCCTTTTAAAGTCCCCACTGTGAACTCTGTGCACCCTCCATCTGTAGTGCTCCTCACCGTCTATGGGGCTTTTGCACAGCCAGTGCTGTGGAGGAACTGAGGCCCAACTCATCCCTGCAGGGGCCAGCCCCCCTTCCCCATTCTCCATTAATACACACTGTCCAACACAGGTGCTGTTGTCAAACTTTAGAGGAACAGATAGATGATAGACAGATACAGAAACACAGTGATTAAAATAGACTTAGTTAGAGGAAGAGAAAGAGGCTTCATGCAATGTATAGTCTCCTGTGGAGAAGGGATTAGGAAAAGCAAATTAAATTGTTCCCTAAAAGGCAAATGGTCCAATGGTCCCTAGGGAGAGAATGACTGGTAGGAAGGGATTCTCTTGGCATAAGGAAGCTGAGAGAGCTCTTTGAACAGTTGCATTGTGCTGGGCTAGGGTGAGGTCTACCCAAAAGGTTTGAGGAAGATGGGTTCAGTGGGTTTGAAGGGCAGAGAGAAGCTTGTTACTGTCAAGTTACTGCAAAGGAGAACGTGGCCAGAGATAGTAGTGGACACTCCACACGCAAACAGTTGGCTAAACTTCACTCTGCATTTTCATCAGTATGTCTATACAATAAAATTATCAAAATTGAATTTAAATTACGTAGATAAAAAACCTTTCTATTTTCCCTTTACCAAAGTAATTTCATAATAGATTTGTAATATACTTGGAAATCAACTCTATGATGTCATTTCCTAAACAACTTCCAAATGCCTTCATCATAAAAAGTCCACGTTAAATAAAACGCTCTCATGAAGTCAAGGTCCAAGCTGTTTGTCATGGCAACATTCCAGTGAATAGCAAGTCAAAGGGAAGATTGTTTGGCACACGAAATTAAAGGAAACATTACAGCATTAACAATCACTTTGATGTACTTTAGTATTGACAAAAGTATCCATCTCTAGGTTGCTTAAATTTTGCAAAGCTTTATGATCATTTCACACACAGTAAAATTTGTGTACAAAATGAATTAAATACAATTTGTTATTATTCCATTATTGGTTGATTTGATATGAGGTAACCGTACAGCCTTAATTGCCTTACTTCTAAGAAAGCCCTTGGGGGAAAGCAATCCCGTGTCTACTCAGCACTAGCAGCTCAAAACTACAAACGAAATTTCAACTTGCCTTGAAATGCAATCATCCAACTCTATGAGACCTACAGCTTTTGGCTGAAGTCTAAAAATATCAAGTTCCCAAACTTCGCAAGAACACAATGAAAGCTCTGAAGTTCACTCATAGGTTGACAAAACACGCCTCAAATAAATACTATGCTCTCTCAGACAAGGATTTGCAAGATCATGCAGTGGGCCCCCTCTCTTAGAGCGGTGACCTTTGCATGGCAATGCATTTGGGCTTTTTGCTTTTCCTTCATTTGCCAAAAGAAGAGCACAGAAGAAAGGAGCTTATAAGAGGCAAGTTGGTCCCCACAACAAGGAATTTGTGCCTATATTAATCTCAACAGTCTGTGATATTGCCCCCTACCATGGTCTCCCCACTATAAGGCAACATAGCAGATGTGTCCACAGGCCTGAAGCTTGTGAAGTGGTAAGATCCACACACCTGTAGATGCTCCCCCCGCAAGCGCCCAGGGTTTGCTGCTTCTTCCCAAGCTCAGACACACCTTCCGTGTGCTCACCGCCAGTGGAGGCCTGCTCACTCTCCCTGTCAGCAGAGCGAGCATTCAGCACACTTCACCAATGGTTCTTAACAGATTTACCAGCTGGAGATGGGAGAGGGCACATAGCTCCTATTATTGACTGACAACTCTTTTGGCTTCCTGCCTTTGGAAATCAGCACTAAAAGACTCTCTTCAAATTAAACATTTACTACAACTCTGGAATCTAACAAAATCCACTAGGGGTTCACAAGTAAGTATGTTTAGATTATGTCCAGTCCTTTTCATTTGCTCTCTATCATTTATTTCATGGTTGCTGGACAAGTGGACCCATAGGAATACTATTTAACCAGAGGCCTGTTGTAAACTCATAATCACGATCATTTCATATTGCTTAGCGGGTCTCAGGGAGTTTGCTTTAGGGTAATACAGCCCCTGCCTTCCCCAAGCATCCACAGCCCTGGTTTCATTCCTTCATTCCTCAAATAAATGAAACAGCAAAGGAAAATCAGAGAACTCAACACTGGAACTATTTCATTTGGGATTATTACTCCTGGTTGGTAGATTTCTGCCCTCAGCCTAAAGGTGACAGTATATACACTATAAAAGAGTTACTTCCCAAGGCTTCTGCCCCACTAGAGTTAAACAGGCAGGCAATCCAGAGAACACTGCAGTTTCTGTGCTCCATCCGAGTTAGACACGCCTTTCTCACTGCTGTCTTGAAGAGGATATCCCATCTGTGGTTAAGAAAAAGCAGCAAATCCTCCCATACTACAGATAGAAGGACTATCCTTTGTTGGTAGGCGCAGAATCTGTCTTTAAATGAGAAAAGGATCGATCATGTTTACCGGGATACTTTCCAGAAAAGCAAGGCTGGACAATCCCTCACACTCAAATGGCTCTTGTCAGCCTGTTTTTCTATTTGGAAGACTGTCCCTTTCCTTCCTTATAAAATTGCCAGTGGCTTCGCCTATGTTCCACGTCCCACGAATGAGATGGGGGTAGAGCCAGAGAACCAACCTGCTCCTGTGGCCTCTGGCGCTCAGAAACCCCATCAGATGCTTGAAGATATCACGTGTTAAGACTCCTTCCTGGCACCGTAGCACAAAGGCTGATAACCTTATAGAAGGCGCAGAAGCTCCTCGTCCTCTTGCACAAGGCCAGGAAAAACAACCTGTAGGTTTACACACCTGCTGTTAATTGTAAGGCTCCTTGCAAGACCTCCTCCAGGTCTCCCTGAAGACTGAAGCCTCCCCTAGACATGTGACTTTCACTATCCAAAACATCCCTCGCACAGAGCGCACACGGTAATGGTCACTTACTCTAACGTCAAACAAAGGGGCTCTGAACCCTAAAAAAAAAAAAAAAAAAAAAAAAAAAAAAAAAAAAAAAAAAAAAAAAAAAAAAAAAAAACAGAGAAAACTGCAAATTAAAATTCCAGCGTTAGCAATCAAAAAAGGCAGTACCTGACTAAGGCCCGCTAAGTGGGGCCGCGCGCACGCGCCAAGGGCTCTGGTCTGCAAACCAATCAGCGACAGGCCCAGTCGTTGCCATGGCTACCTATCCTAGTGGGCGGTTCTGTAGCAAGTGAGCCTCAACCCGGGAGCCAATCAACGGCCGGTCCAGCCGTTGCCATGGCCACACTGTTTGTTAGGACTGCGCAAGCGCTCACACAGAGACAGCCGGTGGCTCCAGCCCCTGCACTAGCTAGGGTCAGAGTGGCCGCGTCCTAAGGCAGTAACTATTGCGACCAGATTCGCTGAGTGTCTGGCATGAACCGCAAGAAGCTGCAGAAGTTGACGGACACCCTAACTAAAAATTGCAAGCATTGTAAGTAAGAACCACGTGCTGGACAAGCCGAGTTCTGGGCCAGGTCCGCGGCTGTGCCTGCTCCCCATCTTTGCCTAAGTGAGGATGAAGCGCCGCAGCTGTAGAAGTCTGCAAGGGAGCCCCGGGGTGCTGGTTTCTTGGGGTGGGCACCCATTCCCTGGGTCTCAGGAATCCATATACATCCTACACTCCCCTACATGCACTTACTTGCTTCTCAAAGCCCCATCTTAATTTTATTTCACATTATAGAACGTGACACGTGTGCCCACAAGACATGTGCTTTTAGCTCCAGGCAGGTTGTAAAATAAGTACTAAGAATCACCAGACTGGAGAACAGTGGCACAGCCGAGGTAGACCATGGCCCCTCACCCTGCAGGTCCAAGTTCTGGAGGCTCACCAAGAGCCCACAGGAGAAACGGTTTTCTCAGTGGCACAGACATCTGCATCTCAGAGCAAGAACACTATGAGTCCAAAAGAAGGTGACAACTGAGAAAGATAAAACTCCAGCATTGGCAATCTAAACGCAGTGCCTGGCTGGAAACCAAAGGACTAGCAATGCTAAACACAAGGGAAAGAATCAGCTCCTGCCTGCAGCCTTGCACTGTGTTCCTGCGAGTGGGGTGCTAAGTTAAAGGAGACCTTACAAAGGGACACTTTTCAGAGATATAGCACTTGAACAGGGCAGTTCTGGGATCTCAGAGGCCAACTTGATGATTGTATTCAGACTGAAAAACAGAACCGTGCCTGGGCAAGGGAGTCATGATATGGTTTAGATGAGGAAGATACTATGTGGCAAGCAAGTTTAGAAGTTGTGTGCTGATTGCAGAACTGTGGGCCACTTCAGGGCACAGGAGAAACCATGAGTCCCAGGACAGTCCTGCTGTGCAGAGGAGGAGTGCACATGTTTTAATGTAGTTGTACAGCTGACAGGGCTAACACCTTCTAGTCATCATTAGCATCTGATGCAATGAGCAGTGAAAAATGCTCACTTCATGGGGTGGTGTCATAAAGAAAAGCCGTGGTGCACATAAACATCTTACAATTCTTAGAAAAAGGGTATTCTATAATTTAAGATGTTTTTCTGGTTTTTATGATCTGATGAGGGTTTTGTTTTGTTATTGTTTTAATTAAACTACTTTCATTTCTGGAAAAACAGATATTTTTCAAATATCTAGTAAACATTTTTGATAAATACAAGCAATGCAACAACTGCTGTATACAATACTGAATTTGACTTAGTCTATGTTTCAAGTTTGCAGTGCATTGTCAGCAAACATTCTGTGAACAATTGAAAGATGCACTTTTTAACAAAGATTTATTTATTTGAAAGTCAGAGTTACACACACAGAGAGGAGAGACAGAGAGAGAAGAGAGAAAGACAGAGAGAAGTCTTCCATCCGTTGGTTCACTCCCCAAATGGCCACAACAGCCAAAGCTGTGCCAATCTGAAGCCAGGGCCAGAAGCTTCTTCTGGGTCTCCCATGTGAGTGGAGAGGTCCAAGGACTTGGGCCATCTTTTACTGCTTTCCCAGGCCATAGCAGAAAGCTGGATCAGAAGTAGAGCAGCCAGGACTCGAACCGGAGCCCATATGGGATGCCGGCACTGCAGGCAGTGGCTTTACTTGCTAAACCACAGCACCAGCCTCAATGAGCATATATTTTTTTTAAAAAGTGAAAACATAGCAGGGAAAAAGAGTCAACTCTTGATTTTTGTCCTTACATAAAATTTATAAGCTGAGCCTTATAAACTTTTATGATTATGAGTAAAAAATAACAGTTGTACTGTAGACATAGTTAGAAGTCATTATAATAATTTTAAATTTTCTTAGAGATCTTTTCCCCTAAAGTCAGTTTCTTCTCAATTGGCAAATGGCCATGCCAACAGGATGGAATGGAAATGGATCAGTTTTGTAGAATCGGAGAATGGACCTTACGTGGGTCTCTGGCTAATCTGCCATTCCACTGATAGGATAGAGCATTCCTGGACGCAGAAAGCCATGCCTGGATTTCCCTTAATTTTGCTTATCCTTGTTTTCTACAACCTAAGAAGTATTTCAGCAAAAGTCATTTTCTTATGGCTGACTTTTGATCTATGGGTTATGAAGTAATGCTCTATAGTTTTTACTTCAGCTGAGATGGAGAAATGTGTCATCGAGGACATCATTCTTCATGCAGGATTTTCGTCCCCAAACACTAAATGCATTTTGTTGGTGTTGATACAGTTTTGTTTCTCTGTGTGGTTTAATATGTAAATATATATTCACATAATGTATCATTTTCATCATCTTAAGTGTGGCATTAAATATAGTAATTTCCCTTACCCTCTATGAATATGTTCCAAGACCACCAGTACATTCCCTGAAACCGTGGTTAGTATCAATCTCTGAATATGCTATATTTTTACCAATACATTCCTGTGATAAATTTTGCTATAAATTAAGCACAGGAAGTGATTAACAATGAATGATAACTAATAAAAAAAAGAATGATCACTATAATACAGCAATGTACTATAATGAGAAGTATTTAAATTTAGGAATTGTTTATTTCTGGAATTTTCCATTTAAAATTTCTGATCATGGTTAAAAATGGGTAACTGAAACTGTGCGCAGTGAAGCCATGGGCAGGAGGTAACTACTGTTCATTCACACTGTCGTGTAACCGTCACCACCATCTACCCCTAGGACCTTCTCTCTTTCGCAAATGTAAGTCGGCACCCATTACACTCTAACTCTCCACTCACTCCTCACAACCCTGGTAACCAACATTCTACTTTCTGTCTCTATAAATTTGACTATTTTAGGTACTGCATATAAGTGAAATAATTCAGTATTTATCCTTTTGTGTCTGCTTTATTTCACTTGGCATAATGTCCATAAATGTTCATCCACATTGTAGCATGTGCCCTTCATCTTTAAGGCTGAATAATATTTTGCTGTGTGAATGCACCACATTTTCTTTAGTCATTCATCAATCATTGATCCCAGGATTGCTTCTATCTTTTGGTTATTGAAGTTTATGCTGCTGTGAACATTATACAAGTATCTGAGATCCTGCTTTCAATCTTTTAAAATACATATTTGGAATTGCTGAATGATGTGATAATTCTTTGTTTAATTTTTTGAGGAACTATCATATTGTTTTCCACAGTAGGGAACTGTTATTTTAAAATCATAACCATTACATTCCTTTGTTTATATACTAAATCTTTCCTTTTCCAAAGTTTTCAATCTTGCTCTTTTTTTAAAAAAAGTTTTATTTAAGTTATACAAGTTTCATGTATTTCATATATACAGATTTGGGAACGTAGTGATATTTTTCCATCCTACCCCTCCTCCCACCATGCTCCAACCTTGCTTTTTTTTTTTTTTTTTTTTTTTTTTTTTGACAGGCAGAGTTAGACAGTGAGAGAGAGATACAGAGAGAAAGGTCTTCCTTCCGTTGGGTCACACCCCCCCCAAAATGGCCGCTACCAACCTTGCTCTTAAAATGTGGCTCTCCCAACAAGGAATTACACTCACGCCCAGCCTGTCCTGAAAGATGAGGTGTGACTGCCACTCTTATGCAGTGTCTTATCTTACATTACACAGATTTTGCCCTTTTTTTTAAATAATAGTTTTTCCTGGTTTTGAAATAAAATTCCCCCCACACCCATACTTCATATTTAGTCTCACTTTTATGTTCTTAACGCCAGGCAATAACCCTTCCACCTACATACCTCAAATGGCAGTTGGAACACAAATAATTAACTCGGTGTTTATAAACACCACCCTTTATACAATTATGTGTGCGGGCAAGTAGCTGTGTGTCTATCTATCTGTCAAGCAAAAACTTTCTTCCCCAGAGTACTACTGAATGGTTATATGTTAATTTTCAAAATCTAGCTCATGAATTCACTAAGGTTATAGTAAAATAAAATTTTTTAATTAGTTCTCAGGAGTCCAGAATCTATTTCCAAGGAAAAGTGAACTTGTAGAGCTCATGAACATCTATAATCAAAATGCTGTAGAAATTGTTACCTTTTTATTTTATTATATTTTTAAGATTTATTTGTTTATTTACTTGAAAGGCAGAGTTACTTAGAGAGAGGGAGAGACAGAGAGTGAGAGATCCTCCATCCACTGGTTCACTCCCCAAATGGTCTCAACAGCCAGGACTAGACCAAGCTGAACCAATGAACCAGGAGCTTCATTCAGGCCTCCAAGTGGGTAACAGGGTCCCAAGCACTTGGACTGTCCTCTATAGACTTCATGGGCACATTAGGAGATGGATCAGAACAAGCACACATGTGGGGTGTTGCAGGGGTTGCTTAACCTGCTACTCCACAATGCTGACCCCACCATTCTTACATAAGCTCTAATGGCCCTGTAAAGTTTAGGACTTGACACCACAATCTTTATTCAGTTGACTTGTCTAATATTATTTTTTCCGAGCATTTGTTTACTTGCATCTATTTCATATCCAATTCCTATTAGGAGGGAATACTACTTCTTTTATTTTAGTGGATAACAAAGCATTGATATCTTCTATTATCAGTCAAGAATCTCAACACAAGAGATTTCTGTTCACAGCTACATATGTGATGTCATTGATGCTGTTTGTCTGTAAATTCAGTAATGTAAAATTTGTGAGGACTTAAAGATGCCTTCTGTCATATCTTAATTTTATTTATTCACAGTTAACAAATTTGAAGTAAGCTGTCTTATAAAGCTTTTCTATAACTTGGTGGGAGATGTGGCAGAGCGACCAGGTGCAGTCGTTGGATTAGATCGTAATGCCTTTCGCAACATCCTGTATGTGACATTTGGAATGACAGATGACATGATTATGGACAGAGGTAAGAGACAGCAAGTTCAGGGTAGCTACATCCAGCCACAAAAGTTGGAGAAATCATCATATTCTTGATAGAAAACTTAATTCACTTGAATATAAAAAAAATAATTCTGCAAAGAAAATAGAAAAGGAGGAAGTATCCTCTATTTTATGCATTTAAGGAGGAAACAAAATCAGATTAACTAGGTCTCCCTAACATTGTATCAGAAAATAAAAAATATTTCTATTTCTAATAAGTAAGCATAATAATAAATAGGTTGCAAAGGACATTTGAATTTCCTTACCCACAGAAAATATTCCAACAAAAATTAAGACACAATTCCTTCAGTTAGGTAATAGCAGTACTTTGCTTAAGTAACAAAAATATAAATTATTTATTACATCCAAATATCTAATATAATTCACATATTTATTATTCAAATATATGTTATTAATAAATAATTAATGCATTTAGATATCCAACTATTCTTTGATCTCAAAACACAGAGAAAATTTGAATGTTTAAATGAAAGAGGTTTCTGTGTCTCTGTTTCTTAGTGTCCTCCTGTATCAAGTGAGGACATTGGACCACCTGATCTTGAAATGCTCTCTGAATTTTAAAAGTAATACTAATGTGGACTCAGTACTGAGAATTGTGACATTGCACATCTCTCTTTCTTTAGTATTCCGAGGTTTTGATAAGGACAACGATGGCTGTGTAAATGTATCAGAGTGGGTTAATGGATTATCACTGTTTCTTCGAGGATCTTTGGAAGAAAAAATGAGATGTAAGATTGCAGTCATCCTATTGGTTTGTACATTGTAATTAATATATCTAGAATATTTAAATCAACGCCCTCTAATCCAGCCAATGAAGTCAGTTTGATTGAGTAGCTGGTTGTTCAGTTGACTGGAATCCCCAGTAGCTTCTTATATGGAGTGAATTCAGGTCAACAGAGTTGAAAGAAAATTAATGGAAAGGAAAACCAACAATTTTGAGGAATAATTTATGCTAAAAATATGTATTACTAGATATGCTAATTACATGTGTATACATTTGTGTATTATGCATTTTATATATTTAATTACTTGAGTTGTAACCATGAAACCAGAGCATTGATTCAAATGTTCTGTTTATAGTCTTGATTCTCAATTAATTCTGATGAATGCTACATATTTCAGTAAGTTTTCCAAGAGTTTCAAGATAAAAAGCTATTGTTTCGTAGTATGCTTTTTCATAGATGAGTGTAAGGAAACCATTTCTAAGAATTTTTGAACTGTATTCAACTAGTGAACCAGTGTACATTAACATTTATTGTGAAAATCAGATTGTGCCAAGGGTTGTGGGGTTGATAAAGCATCAACCAGATGGAAATGTCAGGGCGGCACTGTGGCACAAAGGGTTAATGCCCTGGCCTGAAGTGCCTGCATCCCATATGGACACCGGTTCTAGTCCCGGCTGCTCCTCTTCCGATCCAGCTCTCTGCTATGGCTTAGGAAAGCAGTAGAAGATGGCCCAAATGCTTGGGCTCCTGCACCCACGTGGGAGACCCAGAAGCAGTTCCTGGTTCCTGGCTTCAGATCGGTGCAGCTCCATCCCTTGTGGCCACCTGGGAAGTGAACCAGCAGATGGAGGACCTCTCTTTCCTCTCTGTTTCTAGCTCTCTCTGTAACTCTATCTTTCAAATAAATAAAATAAATCTTTAAAAAAATTTTTTTAAAAGATGGAAATGTGCCTGAGAAATGTATCCAAGAAAATATTATTTAAGTGATACTATTAAATTTATAATTTATTTATTGATTGATTGATTGATCTGAAAAGCAAAAAGAGATGATCGACTTCTCTTTGACAGTTTCACTCTTCAGATGCCCACAATTGCCAGGGCTTAGTCTGGGTGTCTCACATGGATAGCAATGACACAAATACTTGAACCATTACCAGCTGCCTGCTAGAGTGCACATTAGCAGGAAGCTAGAATTGGGAATGGAACTAGTACTTGGACCCAGGCACTGTAGAACCTGTCCCAAGCAACACCTTAACTATTGCACCCAACATCACCCCATTTGCTTGCTTTGTTTTGTTTTAAAGATTGCTTTGAAGTGTTTGATTTGAATGGAGATGGATTCATTTCAAAGGAGGAAATGTTTCACATGCTGAAGAACAGCCTTCTCAAACAGCCCTCAGAGGAAGATCCTGATGAAGGAATTAAAGATTTGGTTGAAACAACACTTAAGAAAATGGTAATTCCAGATAATTTAGAGTCTGATGTTGAAATGTATAGAACAGATAAGGGATAGAAATAAGAATTCAAATTATAATTTTCAGTTTCTTGTTTAGTTAACTGAAACAATTGAATTTATCTTTATTATAATAATTATTTTCCATTTTGCTATCTAATCTCATTTGCTGGCACTCTTCTACTATTAGCACTTGACAATTAAAAGAATATTTATTTTGCTAAGTATTTGCATGTTAACTGATGCATTGCTGGTCCCCTCACCCACACACTGGCCCCAGGACCATGATCACGACGGGAAGCTGTCTTTTGCAGACTATGAAAAGGCTGTGAGAGAAGAAACCCTTCTGTTGGAAGCTTTTGGACCATGTTTACCTGATCCAAAGGTAGTGATACCACTTTCTCTGAACCATACCCAACATATAACCTATGAGAAACCACAGGAAATTTTTATTTAATTTTGTAAATTTCTATTTATTTTATTTGAAAGACAGAGAGACAAAGAGCTCCCATTTGCTGAATCACTCCCCAAATGCCTGCAATAGCCAGGGCTAGGCCAGATCAAAATCAGGGGCGCAGAACTCAAGCCAGGTTTCTCACATGGGTGTTATGGACCCAAGTACTTTAGCTGTCAGCGACTGCCTCCCAGGATGTGCATCAGCAGGAAAGTAGATTGGAGAGCCAGACTCAAACTCAAGTCTTCCAATATGCACATCCCAAGTAGCATCTTACCTGCTCCACCAAATTTCTGCCCTAACCCATAGCATTCTGGTTTCATTCTGGTGGATGATAAAGTCTACTGAGGAAGAACCTGCTGGTTTATCTCACAGTACTTTTGTAGCCCAGTATTGGCTTTTTTTTTCATTATTAACTCATTCATTCATGTTAGAAATAATTAATGAGGCTCAGTGTTCACCAGAAGCACAGATGAAAGGCTCCCTGACTATCCTTAACGGCTCAGATTTGCCTGGGAAAATGCAACATAAAAACAATTACACAACAGTATGATAAGTGTTATTATAATAATATTTAATGACTTTTATGGTGCTTCAGCTATGCCAGGCAATGTCATAAGCACTCTGTGATATATCGCCTCATTTAATCCTTTTAACAATCCTGTGAAGCAGGTAGTATTAAGTGGAGGCTCAGAGAATTGAAGCAGCCTGTCCAAGTTCACTCGCTAATGGGTGACGTCCCTGGGTCCCATGGTGCTGAGTCCACAGAGATATAGGTAGTGTTGTGATAGTAGACCAGATGGGCACCTAAACCAGCTGTCTGGAATTGTTCTTAGGACACAGAAGGCTTGTAGGAAGAACTGGGTTTCGAAGGACAATATGACCTGGTCAAAGTGCGCGAGAATAATCTAAGCAAAAGGAATGGTGGATATCCACAGAAGGAGAGAGGGAGGGGGGAAAGAAAGCAAGAAAGAGATGCAAGTAAGTCTGTGTCAGGAGGACACACGGTGTGGGATGAGGCTGGTGACAAGGTTATGGGTGTGCTGAAGGACCAAGCCCTGAGAGCTTGGTACTTGCTTTTTGTCATGAAGGTGATAAGCATTCATTGGGGGATTTAAGGCAGGTGGAGTGATCTGTATGTAATTATAATTAGTCTAGTTTGTATCTCCAGCTGCCTACTGATGCCTACTTGATGGTCACAACTAACTCTCGGTTTCCTCCTAAACATCCTCCTCCCCGAGTTACCCCCTGTCTGAATAAGTGGTATGCTCACACACTCAGTCGCATAGTCAAAAACCTAGGAGCCATCATTAATTTCTATCTTGTAGCATGATTAGCTACTCCTCCAAAATATATACTCAAATATAACCTCTTCTGCACACATCTGTTGGCCACTAAGCTACATCAAGCTTCCATGATGTGTCACCTAGCCCAGACCATCAGCTTTCCTGCTTCCGCTGTTAGTCAAAGGTAAATGCTGCCATGCCTTGCTCAAAACCCTCCAGTGAGTTCTGAAATTGATACAGTGAGCCCTTTCACTCCATCCACATCTCTTACCATCTCTGTTTCTCTCTTGCTACTGGAGCTGTGTCAGCCATCTTGCTCTGCCTCCATCCATGCCATTGCACTTGCTGCTACGTCTGTCCAGAAGTCCTTTCCCCAGACCCTCATATGTCTCAGTCTCTCATTTCCTCCATCTCCACCAAAGGACACTTCCTCATAGAGCCTCATCTTGACTCTTCCCCCAACCCTGCATTACTTTTCTTCTCAGTTATTTTCATTACCTAAATATATTTACTATCTTCTGCCTCACTAAATAGATGTAAGTTCCCTGAGGTCGAGAGCTTGGTCCTCATTTCAGTGTATTTCCCTACAGCCTTTGAATAGATGCCTAATGATGGATAGGTGGATGGATGGATGGATGGATGGATGGACAGATGGATAGATGGACGGACGGATGGATGGACTGAGTGCCTGGTGGGGAGTTCTGGAAATCTTCTCAAGATTTACTTCATTATTTACATTTACCCAACACATTGAAATTCTTCCCTCTCTAATTAAATCTTACCATTCACCTTTAAAATGTTTTCAGATCATCCCATCCGAAAAAGCAAAGGAGAGAGAAAATAAAAGGAGAAAACAAGAGAGGAGAAGGGGAGTGAAAGAGAGAAAGGGTGGAAAGGACATTACCTTAATTCAATATTGACTGCTGTTTTCTGTCAATGACTTTCTTCTCACAATCAAGTGTCTTGAAAAAATTATCCAGATGTAAAACCTGTAGTACCACCTTCTTCTCACCCACCCCTGAATCTACTACTGTCAAAGTCACCCTGCCTTCCTTGTTAAAAAATCTCACAAACGCTCTTGGGTTCTTGTTTGACGGGATCTCATCCCTTCCTCACCCTCCCTGCCTTCAGCTCTCAGACTGACCCTGCTATTTAAGGAAGCAACTTTGCTCCCCCACCGAGGCCTGGCTGTGTCCTCATTCATCCTGCTTTACTCCTGAGTCCACCTTGTGCCGAGAATCATTGCAACTCTCACTGCACTAACAGGCTCCCAGTCTCTGGCCAGTGTCCCCACTCACATGGGGTTCCTGGAGACGTAGAGCAGGTGCTTGTGCTCTTGTTCCTCTTTGTGGCTCAAAACCAAGCACTTTTCTTGGAATGTAATCAGAGCTGATGAGATCTGTGTGTGAAAAAATGCATAAAATCCATAAGGTCTTGTTGCCGGCTCTCCCTCTACTCCCCTGTGTCTCTCTACATCACACTAAGGAGCATACAGAACATTTTGTGTGGTTCTGTCTTTTTTAGAAATCATACTGAGTTGGACACTTTTATTTTACAGAGCCAGATGGAATTTGAAGCGCAAGTGTTCAAAGATCCAAATGAATTCAGTGATATGTGAATGTCTAAATGTCTGTGTTGTCTCAAGTGAGTAAAAAAAAAAAGGCACATATGCGTTGTTTATTTTTTTATTTTTTGCTTGACTCAGAAAGATGATGCTGAATTTTGTGTTTGGGGGTGAGAGGTGAGATTCACTTACACATTTGATTTACCTCTGGTGTGAAGTGCAAGTAAAATATTCATACATGGAATGCAAGAAGCTCCTCATCAGATGTTGTTGAGTTTGGCAAGACAAGTTAACATCACTAGAGGTATTCCATCACAGGACAATCCTTGTAAACACATAACTGTCATAAAACATCTGGATTCAGTCAGTGAATGGACAAATTATATAATCATGAATTATAAATATCAATACTCTTCATGTCATAAAGGCACTAACTAGGTATACTGTATACTGAAAAGTCATTGAAACTACTAAATTTTCTGAGTCAATAAATAATTAAGATGGTTTCAAAAGAATAACAATACTGGTGTGTATCATTGAAACACCTTTCTGCTAGTCATTGAGGGAGATACATAAAATGAAAGATCCAGGGACCAATTAAGATACATGTGTGTGTGTGTGTGTGTGTGTGTGTGTGTGTATATATATATATATATATTGCAGTTGGCCGCCAAAGCTCCCACCTCCTCTGGCTCCCAGTCTCTCCAGCCTGACCTTCCTTTTTATTGCATGCCACAGCCTGAGTGCTCTGAAGGACCGGTGTCCCTGCACTATGACAGTTCCCCCTTGGACACTTTGCCATCAAGGGGTACTATTTGGGCCCAATGGCTGTGACTCCTAAAGACAGAATTGCCTCTCTCACACCTGACCGTGTGCAGGTACTGGTGGCATCAGATGAAGCATGAGAGAGACAGGGATTGATTAGGGTGGTGTGAGCTCCTTTTCTCCCAGTCAGTAGACACAGTGAAAAGGAGTACTACACAGGCTGGCTCCGCGGCTCACTAGGCTAATCCTCCACCTTGCGGCGCCGGCACACCAGGTTCTAGTCCCAGTCGGGGCGCCGGATTCTGTCCCGGTTGCCCCTCTTCCAGGCCAGCTCTCTGCTGTGGCCAGGGAGTGCAGTGGAGGATGGCCCAAGTGCTTGGGCCCTGCACCTCATGGGAGACCAGGATAAGTACCTGGCTCCTACCATCAGATCAGGGTGCGCGGGCCGCAGCATGCCGGCCATGGCGGCCATTAGAGGGTGAACCAACGGCAAAAGGAAGACCTTTCTCTCTGTCTCTCTCACTGTCCACTCTGCCTGTCAAAAAAAAAAATTTAAAAAAAAGGATCTTATACAAATGGGCTTTGACATAATTATTCTCTCTGCAGTAGTAGATAATGAAACACAATGCTTTTGGGTTTCTTTCTCCATTTTTATTGAAGGATAATGGACAAAAGTATATATATTTAAGGTATATGATTTGATGTTTTGATATACATAGACATTGTAAAACATTGCTGCCATCAGGCTGATTAACATATTTGTCTTTTAGTGTATGTCCAGTGTACCCTCTTAGCAAATTTCAAGTGTATAATACAGTATTTCTAACTATAGTCACATTGCTCTTCATTAAATCTCCAGGATTTCATCATCCTGCATAAAAAACTTTGTGCCCCTTGACTAACATCTCACGTGTTCCCCTCCCCCAGTCCTAGGCATCCAGCAGTCTACTTCCTGCTGCTATTTTAGATTCCACAGATAAGTGAGATCATGCAGTATTTGTTTTTTCTGTGTCTGGCTTTTTTCACCTACTATAATGCCTTCCAGGTTCATCCATGTTGCCACAAATAACAATTTCACTATTTTTAAAGGTGCAATAATATTTCACACACAAACACATATCTTCCTATATATATCAAATTTTATTTATCTATTCATCTATTGATTGGCACTTAGGTTGTTTTCATATTGTGGCTACTTTAAAATAATGCTAAATGAATATAGGGATGCAGATAGTTCTTTGCAATGCAGATAGTAATTTCACTTCCCTTGGAAAGAAGTAAGATTGCTGGAACATATGATAATCTCATGTTTAATTTTTTGAGAAAACTCTATACTGTGTTCCATAATAGCTGTACTGGTTTGTACTGCATCAATAGTGTACAAATATTACTTTTCCTACCCATCCTCGCCAACACTTACCTTTTCCATTTTGGATAATTACCATTCTAAAGGCATGAGGTAATATCTCATCATGGCTTTGATTGGCATTTTTCCACTGATTAGTGGTGCTGAATAATTTTTCATACACCCTTTGGCCATTTGTAGGTCATCTTCTGAGAAGTTGGCTGTTCAGGTCTTTTCTTATTTCTTAGCTGTTTTCTGGGTATTGGGTTGTAGGAGTTCCTTATATTTTTAGACCTTAAACAGTTATTAGATACATAGTTTACAAATGTTTTCTCTAATTGTTACCTTTTCACAGTTGATTGTTTACTTTGTTGTGCAGGTTTTTTTTTTTTTAGTTTGAGTCAATCATCTATGCCTATTTTTTATTTTGTTTCCTGTGCTTTTGAATTATATCCAAAAAAAAAAAAATGGCCCATAAATGGCCCATAGCAAAGTTAAGAAGATTTCTCCCTGTGTTTTTTTCTAATAGAATTATAGTTTCAGGTCTTACAGTTAAGTTCTTATTTCATTTTGAGGTGATTTTTGTATATGATGTGAGCTGAGGCTCCAATTTCATTCTTCCTCCTTGGAAATCCAGTTTTCCAGCACCATTTGTTAAGAAACTATCCTTTCCTCAATGTATATTTTTGGTACCTTGTCAAAGATAAGTTGACTGTAGTTTCCTATATTAATTTTGGATTCTGAATGCTGTTCTATTATTGTATATGTATGTTTTTGTGCCAGTACAATATAGATTTGATTACTGTAGCTTTGTGGTATACTTTGAAGTCAGAAAATGTGATGCCTTTAAGGTTGTTCTTGCTCTAGATTGTATTGGCTATTTGGAGTAACTTGTGCTTCCATGTGAATTTTAGAATTTGTTTTTTCTATTTCTATAAAGATTTCCATTGGAATTTGGTAGGGATTACATTGGGTCTGTAGATCACAATGGATTATAGAGCCATTTTAACCACATTAATTCTTCCAAGCCATGATTATGTAATGACTTTCCATTTATCTGTGCTTTCTTTAATGTTCTTCACCATTGTTTTTATACTTCTCAGTGTAAAAGTCATTTCACCTCTGTAGTTAAATTTCCTACTAAGTATTATATTCTTTTTCTTGCTATTGTTAATGGGACTTATTTTCTTCATCTCCTTTTCTGATAGTTAATTGTTTGCATGTAAAAATATGGGTGATTTTTATGTGTTGATTTTATATACTATGACATTATTTAATTTGATTATTAATGCTTATAGATTTTTTTTGAATCTTAAGGATTTTCTACATGCATAATGATGTCATCTGCAAACAGATGATTTTATTTCTTCTTCCTCAATTTGGACATATTAATTTCTAATTGCTCTGCCTAGGACTTACAATACAAAATTGAATTGAAGTGGCAAGAGTGGCCATCTTTGCCCACCAGTTCCTGAAGGGAAAGTTTTAAATTTTTCTCTATTGATTGTAATGGCAGCTGTGGGCTTTTCATATACACTTTTATAATGTTTAAGTAAGTTCTTACTATACTTATTTTGTTGAGAATTTTAATCATATGTGAATTGTAAACTTTAAAGCTTTTGCACCTATTGAGATTCTTATGGTCAATTATTTTATTTCTTGTTGTTAATCTGTTACATATCACATTGATTGATTTGCATATATTGAACCATCCTTGCTTTCCAAGAATAAATTTCACTTGTTCTTGTTGTGTGGTCTTTTCCATTGAAAATTTATTGAAATTGAAAATTATTGAATTGTTTGTTAGTATTTTGTTAAGAATTTTTATATCTATGTTTATCAGGAATTTTTTTGTGTGTGTTGTCATTGTCTAATTTGGAATCAGGATGACATTGGCTTCATAAAATGAGTTTGTAAGTGTTCTGTGTATTTTTTGGAACAAATTAAAAAGGATTTATATCAATTCTTCTTTGAATGTTTGATGGGGCTCACCTGTGCAGCATCTGTTCTGGGACCTTTCTTTGTTGGGAGTATTCTGATGTAGGATGTGATCTCCTTATCTGTTAATGGTCTGTTAAGGCTTTCTATTTCTTCTTAATTCAGTTTTGGTAGGTTTTATGTTTGTAGGAATTTATCCATCTCTTCAGGGCCATCCAATTTGCTGGTGTATAATTTTTCCCCTCCTTTATAGGTTCCCCATTTAATTGCTATGCCTGATGCATGACAATGCCAGTCCCCTCCTTTATGGTGAATGTTGTAGTCCCCTTGCCAATGTCATGGACCACTATGAGCATGATTTAACTTTGTCATATAGAGAATTAATCTTATGTATCTGTTCTAATGTTTTATTATAGATTGATTATGACATTATTTAAGCCTTATAAAAATGGTAGCCAACAATTACTTCTAGTGCATTTTAAGGTGATGCTTGCACTTGATTGTATGAACACAAAGCTCTTCTCAAGAGCTTCTCAAGATCTGTGCCTCCTCATCATAACCTGCCCACATCATTTCTTCTCGTACTACACCTGGATTGCTGGAGCATCCTTATTTCATCACTGCAACAACTCATAAATTAGTTTAGTCTTGAAAATGCACTCACTTGATAGGAGGGGCATCTGAATACACTCACATCACCTTTATGGAAGAGCCCTTTCCTAGGCTTGCACACCCAGCCCTCACCTCTCCACTGCTGGGCATGGTCTGACTCCCACGCTTCTTGGTACAAGTGGGTGAGCCCAGTCACTTGCCTGCCTTGGGGGTGGTGGGTTGGATCTCTGGGTGAGTGGTTATAATTGGGAAGATGCAATGTAGCCTTCCTCTCACTGGCTTACCTTTCTCCCTTCCAGCACCCTGGTGCACCAGCAGAAAACCCAGC